AAAAAAAAAAAAAGGCCACTTTCTCTCACATACCAGTCTTCAAAGAAAGTCAAGTGCTTTAAAAGGCAAAGTATAGTGAAGCAGACAGTTATAAGAAAAAACACCCAATGATCAACAGAATAGATCCTCAGTAAAAGGGAGGCAAATATGAATGCTGGGGCTCACAGCTAGTTGGAAAAATGCTGAAACCAACAGAAATCAAATACTCTATAGAGTCTTGAAAATAATTTTAATACGGTGGCTTTGAAAGTGGTATATAGGGCCTACTTGGTGGCCAAAGGGTTAAGTTTCATTGCTATCACAGCTATGGCCTGTCAATCTCCTCCAAGGTTCTCACCCACTGCTCTCCTTAGCAGTCTAGTTCAGTAAGTCCACCTTGTTCTGCTCCTCACTCTATTATCCGGTGAATCCTCTCACCTCCCCCTGCCCCATCTCTGGCCTTCTTCTATGCAAAAATAAAAAATGAAGTTGTTTCATATATATATATATATATATATATATATATAATGCCTTTTTAAAAATAGTTAAAAATGCATATGTTATTTTTATTTGTGGGTGTGGGTGAATATAGATAAATAAATTGGATAGTTGGTTTCAATATATCAGAGAAGTCTCCATCAAGGGAAAACAGTAAAAGTAACTGAACAAAGGTAATACAAAATGGTTGGCAAGGATCTTAAGGTTTTTCAAGTGAGAAAGAGGAGAGAAGAGATAAGTCTAACAGTCTGTATTAAATATTTAATTAAATATTTTAAGTATTTAATTTAAATTTTAATATTTACATTAAAAATTTTACAACATTAAAAGAAAACTGAGATGAAAGAATAAGTGTGATTAATCAAAGCCTATCAGAAAGTTCTAGGTTTCTAGTTCTCTTCAAGTAGAAACAATACTACTACATAAAACTCAAGATTAGTGACCTGCTACCATTAAGTTAAAAGTAAGATTTTCAAAAAATTAGTACCTAAAGGGTCCCCCCAGTGGCATGGGGGTTAAAGTCTCAGGTCTATCAATCTATGGCATGCCACTGCAGCTTGAGTTCTATCTTTGCTAGGGAGCTGACCCACATGGCCCAGCTGACCTCTCCTGTCTTGCTTGCTGCTCCCCTCAGCCGTGTATTTCAGTAGATCTCTCTGTTCTTGTTGCCCACTGTCTCTGGTGAATCCTCTCACCTCACTGCACCTTTGGCCTAGCCCCAATTCCTGTACACATTGATAAAATAATTTTTTTTTTAAGTATCTAAAGTACTTTTAGGGTTCTCCCTGGTTGTGCAATGGGTTAATACACAGCACTATGAAGCTTCTGCAGCCACTGCAGAAAGAGTCTGATCCCTGGCCAGGGGGGTGACTCATATGGTGTGGCAGACCTCTCCTGGCCACCCACTGCTTCCCTCAGTGGTATATTTCAGTACACCTGCCTGTTCTGCTCCCTGCTCTGTCTGGTGAATCCTCTCATCCCCATCATCTCTGGCCTGTACCACAGTTCTTGTATGCATAAATAAATAAATCTTAAAAAGAAAAAAAAAAAAGATTTTGAGTACCAGAGTAGATGGATAACCTTTTAGAGGCCTTTCTAATACTGTGACATTACTGGAGCAGAAACTACTTACCTGGAAATTATATCAACACTGAGGTTAATACAAAAAGCAATTGTTCAAGCTACTTATTACATTCCCTAACCTAACAAACTGTTGAAAGATGAAGTTCAATCTGTGACCTATTAATTCTCATCTAATGTAGATGACAAACAGCAAACTAAAGAGGAAAAACCCAATGCATTTTTAAATACATAATGCTTTGCTTTTCAGGATAATCACTTAAGTTGCTAGAAAGTAAATGCATGACCTAGTCCATTCTTGTGGAAAACACTGAGCCTGGTCAATATTATTTTTGAAGAGCCATCTGAAACAGCTCCCTAAACTGTCAATGCCACTATCCCCCACTTTCTGAAAACTGTCAGGTAACTTCATTTTTACAAACAACATATTACTGTCTGATTTTGCTAACCAGAAGAAATTGACAAAAGGGTAAAAACCAAAACCAGTGTCCAGCATTTGCTCTGCAGCAGGCCAGCTATAAAAGCCCCAGCACCAGAATAAAAGCTCCCTCCCCATTAACTACAGGTTGTGTATCATATCATTCATTCCTTCTTTTACCAAATATTAGTGTTACTTAAGGTTCTATTGTTATTCGAAGTGTTATGCTGGGGAGCCTAGGAAAACAAACAATAATAATAATAAATTCCATATAAATAGCAATAGCAACTACTTCACACCATTTTGGTATATGATTGTTTCATAGGAATGTTATACTTTTAGACGTGGGGGAAAATCTGTATTTCTGTTCTTACTAAGGAAATCATTCTACTTTATAAGTAAAACATCACCTTTCTGTGCAACCAGAAAAATAAAAAGAATGAAACACTGCTAACATCAATGAAAGATACTGTATATCTTATGTAAGCACAGGGAAAACTTCTAAACTGTGTATTTATGTAAAGTGCTTAATACTTTTGTGTGCAATACTTATCCATATGTAACTACATCTTATGCAAACACACATAAAACTGTTTTACAAACAATGCACACAATGAAATATAATAAGAAGATCCCAGCTTGCATTTTTATTCATTCAGCAAATATTTACTAAAGACTTAATATAATGCCAGATATTTAGAGACAAACTAAGGGGCAAAACCAGAAATGAAACTTGACCTCTGGGATCTCAAAATCAGCTGGAAATGCCAATTCAAATCCTTCAAAACAGCTAAGTGAGGAAATGTAAATTAAGAAGCAAAACTAATTGAGAAATTAGCAGTGACTGTTCTCATTGCCAGAATCTTCTTTCTAAATGATTCAACTAACTTTATAGACAATCATCCTTGATTCACTTTGTATACCCACAAGTGACCAATCCTCTACCCTTGGAACATTCCTGGTGGGAGGGACTCCCACTAATTAAGTGTTCCATCACTAATTAAGTGTTCTGAAGCACCACCATCCCTCACCTGGTCTCAAAGATAGCTGGCCATGTCCTAATCCCCAAAACCTGTAAGTAATTTACACAATAAAAAGGACTCTGTGGCTATGATTAAATTAAGAACCTTTAAATGGTGAAATTATCCTGCAAGAGGAAGACAGGTGCATCAGCCAAGTGTGTGGATCGGGGGTTTAAGATACTATACAGCTGATTTTGAAGATGAAGGGACCAGAAGTTAAGAAATTCAAGTGATCTACAAACTGGAAGACTAAGGCAAGCAAAAGATTTTCCCAAGATACTTCCAAAAGAAATACAACCATACTGACAAGCTTATTTTAACATAGTGAGATTTCTGACCTGAAGAACCATGACAATAAATTTGTGATGTTTGAAGAGAGTAAATATGCTGAAATCTGTTAAAGTAGCAACAAGAAACGAACACATCCTCTGAAGTTCTGCTATCATGCTTCTCCTTCCTCTTGGCACCAAAGCTGCAACCCAAATGATCCTTTTAACCTCTTCCAAAGGTTTCCAATCTCAGCAGTTTGAAAACCCAAAGTCCCAACCAAAAAGAACCCTCGCTTTTAATGTCACCTGCCACTCCCCCCCCCCCCATGCTAGTCACAAGGTCCCTTGCTGTTCCAGTATCAATCCTGACATGCTCCAGCCTGGTCACTCTTCACCCTCACATGCCCAAAGCTCACATTTTTAGACCTTCTCAAATTTATTCTGAAAGAACCTTACCCAGAACATTCCATCCAAAATTACACATCCCACCAAAACAGTCCTTATTCCCTCCCTCCCCCTAATATGTTTGTCTTTAACAAAGATCACTGAGCATAATACCTATGTAACTGATGCTTACTGCCCATTTCCAAGAAAGCTAGAATTTCGGTGTTGACCACTGTTCCACCCCCAGCAGCTGGCCCCTACCAGGCACTTCATAAATAATTGTCGAATGAATCAAAGAACCATGTGAGGACTCTTACAATAATAAAGCTGGAATTTTAAAAAGAAGAGAAAGGAAAAGCAACCGAAATCGTTCATGGGTTAAAACGGTCATTTTGATTCTTCAACCTCGGCCACACTGAAACTTGGGATTTAAACGCAATAGAAAGCACCAGCATTTTCCGTCAGTGCTTCACCCCAAACACTCGAAACATCTGACAAAAGGGTCTTGGCAAACATTTTCCTTTGCTAAAAGACCAGTTCTGAGGTAATAAACGTGGAGTCAAATCCCTAGGAAAAAGCACGGGATGGAAAGGCGCCAAGGCCGTCCGCGATCTCCCTCCCCAGCCCCGGGACCTTTTTACCGAGGCAAGATCCCTCAGAGTCGGGCCTGCGGCAGCTAAAGCCAAAATCCGCGCCAGGAGACCCAGGGCGCGGCCTCCCACGCGCGAAGCCCCGGCTCCGCGTACGCCTGAGGCGGGGGGGTGGGACGGGTCTGTCCGAGACGCTTCGACCCCGGGGTCTGCGCCCGGCCCCGGGAAGAAGAGAGAAAGCGCCGCCCCGGGGAACCGAAGCGACTCCTCAGGTGAGGAGCCTTCACCGCGAGAAGCCGTCTGGAAGCCACGGGACACAGACCTGTAAGCCTCTTCAGACCCAGAAAACAGCGACGGGCAGAGCTCCACGGCGAGTCTTGGTCACTGGAGCACCGCCCCCAGCTTGCTTCCTCTCCGCGGAGAGAGCGTCTTGAACGTCGCCCAGCGGAGGCCTCCCCTCAGACTCTCTCCGGTCGCTACGCCGACGCCGCAGCCTCTCAGACTCGAGCCTTGCGGAACAGGAGGCGGGCAATAGAGGAAGCTGCGCCCAATTCCGGCAGAACTCCGCCCTCCCGGCTCCGTGCTGGAACTACACGTCCCAAGAGGCTTTGGGCGGCTGCAGTTTTTCGCCGGAAAGACGCTTGCTGAAATTGGGGAGGAGCCCAAAGGGATTGTGGGTAAAGGGCTTTTTCCTTTCCATCTGGCGGCAGCCATCAGGTAAGCTGTGTTAGACATATTCCCTACTCTATCCGCCGTTGATCTCCCTTCTCTTTAGCCATCCGGACTCGGGAACACTGCGTTCTGGAAAGTCCTCCTGCCCCCTGTGCGGTGCGAGTTCGATCAGAATGCGGGGCAGCGCGGGGGCGTGGAGAGGCAGCCCCCGAGGCGGCCTGGGGGAAGATGTTATGGCGGCACGAATTGGAGTTGGGCCCGCAGCGTGAAGGAAAGGGAAGACTCAGCGTCCTAAAGCGAGCCCGGTGGTTGGGATGGGATGACAGATTCTCTTCCTCGAAAGTTAATTTTAGGTGCCAGCAGCAGTAGCTTACTCTTGGCTGGCGACTAGATCTCCTTGCCGGCCGGGCCCCTAAGGATCGCCGCCTCCGGTCATCCGCCTCATGGGTCCATCCTTAGCTCCATTCATTTGTCCACCAAAAATGTACTGGGTTCCTCTCTGTTCTGCCCCTCGGGCAGCAGAGGATACCGAGCGCTCCTATCTATGGGCGCAGAGAGGGTTTAGCAGTCCCCTGCAATTTGTGCAGAGCCATTTTCATTCCCAGTGGTTTCCTTGGAGGTAAGTAACTAAGATGGATGGAGCCCTCTTGTTACACTTAAAATGTATCCTTTCAATACTCGTTTCTTTCTCGAAGGTAAGCCAAAATGGGCGCTTACAAATATATCCAGGAACTATGGAGGAAGAAGCAGTCCGATGTGATGCGCTTTCTTCTCAGGGTGCGCTGCTGGCAGTATCGCCAGCTGTCAGCCCTCCACAGGGCACCCCGCCCCACTCGGCCCGATAAAGCGCGAAGACTGGGATACAAAGCCAAGCAAGGTGAGTGGTCTTTGCCTGGTTGCTAGAACAAAATTTTGTTCCCTGGAAAAAGCTAGAAACTAGTGATTAGGAAGGATGTTACCGTGCCAATGTTTTCTTTCACATAGGGCCTTGGCAGAAAAGGTCATAAGTTAATAAGGCGCAGAGGTTGATTTCTAAATAGAAATGCATACCGTTAACTAAAGTAGCAGGAGTGTTAGTGATTGCAAATCCATGAGTCTGAACTACTTTGAAAATCACTGAAATGATTTGGTAAGTGGGTCTCAGCTTGGTTTTTATTTCCAGAAAACGTAACAAATACTTGATGCTGGATCAGCATTAATGACAAATGGTTGAGATTTAAACCTTTAATGCCTGTTATAAAAAGTGATTTTTGTGTGTGTGTGTGTGCGCAGGTTATGTCATATATCGGATTCGTGTGCGCCGTGGTGGCCGCAAACGCCCAGTTCCAAAGGGTGCAACCTATGGCAAGCCTGTCCACCATGGTGTAAATCAGCTGAAGTTTGCGAGAAGCCTTCAGTCTGTTGCTGAAGTACGTGCTTTTGAGTAGCAGATGGTCACCTTCTAGAGATGGTGGGGGGATAGTTCAGGCAGCTTTATTGATTGTTAACTTGAACCTAGATGTGTTGTGTATAAAGCAGAATTTATGATTTTTACATTTATAGTTCCGGTAAAGAGTTGAAGACCTTGTCCATCTTTGTCACTGATTTATATTCCATATATACTGTGGACTTCATGATTATTAGTATGAGCCTGTGGAACCTAAACTGTTGCAAGACAGTAGTCTGTCATGAACACACTACCATGTATGTAAAAGCTGGGCTTACATACATTACTTATCTTGTAGTTGTCATATTCTTAAACTTTGCTTTGATGAAAGGGAAATAGGTGGAATGGTTTCAAATCAATCAAACCATGTTTTTGCATATTATTTTGGTATATCTACCTTACTGTGTTTCTAGGCCAAACTGGGAAGGTGCTTGATTTTGAGGAGTTTAAAAATAGCCTCATTCATTTGTCTGGTAGTTAAAGAAAAGGTAGCAGTATTGCTTTCCAATTTATTAATGTAAGAAATGCTGACTGTGGGCCTTTTTCCCTGTTGTAGGAGCGAGCTGGGCGCCACTGTGGAGCTCTAAGAGTCCTGAATTCTTACTGGGTTGGTGAAGATTCTACATACAAATTTTTTGAGGTTATCCTCATTGATCCATTCCATAAAGCTATCAGAAGAAATCCTGACACCCAGTGGATCACTAAACCGGTCCACAAGCACAGGGAGATGCGGGGGCTGACATCTGCAGGCCGCAAGAGCCGTGGTCTTGGAAAGGGCCACAAGTTCCATCATACTATTGGTGGTTCTCGCCGTGCAGCTTGGAGAAGGCGCAATACTCTCCAGCTCCACCGCTACCGCTAATAAGTAATGCTTGTGAAATTCTTACCTAATAAACAATTTAGGACAGTTATGTCTGCTTTAAAGTGTTCTTTAATTTGTTAAAATTAATGTCTGCAGATTGTTTCATGAATGCATTGTCAAATTATGAGAGTTAAAGTGCAATAATGTTCGAAGGCTATAAGTGATAGTGTGTCTTGTTTCTAATAAGATAAATGCTTTGCCTTTGCTTTATCTTATTAGGGAATTATATGTCAGTGTTTAAAATGCTGTTTGGTATCATAGGTGTAAAATTTAAAAAGTGCAGACTAGCCCTATAGCTTTCTTGGTGCATGTGATAAAACCTATAACTTCATTGGGGTAATTCAGTGATCTGCTGGTTTTCTCAAGTGGCTGTTTTTAGGAGATGTTAAGGACAAATTTAAGTTAGATTTTGCTTGAAATGTGAATGTTATCCTAATGCTTTTTTGTGATTATGTGCAGGAAAAAAGTTAAGGGCCCACATTTTTTAGTACAATATTCCATTTATATACCTTGCACATGTCTAGGAGAATTGAATAAACCTGCTGCAAGACCTGTTCTCATAAGTGAAATAATCTGGTTAACCTAAACAAGTGTCTCCACAATGCCATTCAAGATTCCTAATGGAATCCCATAACTCCGTCGGGTATGTAGGATCCTGAATTAATAATATACACAATGGTCAATAATATTAAACTGCTGGGAATTGACATTTGGGATTATAAATTAGTAATGCTATTGGTTGGGAAATAGTGACCATCACATACTTTTCAAGTGCGAAGTTAAAAAACTCCACTTTGATCAAAGTTAAGTGCTTATCTGTCACACCACTAGGAATCTGAATCACTGTTGAGTCAGTCTTAAAAATCATCTTTGGTCAACTCACATTGTCTACTCCCATAAGGCTGCTAAGACCTAAGTCACATTTTAGCTGTCATCTACTGTTTCAGATCTGTGTTTATAGTTACTTTTCTCACCCCTGGTCAACAGCAAAAGTCCTTACCATTCCACTAATTTGATAGGTCAGTTGCTTACCTTAACATTGCACACCATCATTTTTGAATTTGTTTCATGTCTTCCAGCAGACTAGGCTGTTTCCAGGGTGAATTTAAAGAGCAATTACTCTAATCCTTACTAATTCTGATTTTGCTGTTAAATAATTACTTTCAAAATCTAACTGCAGCTTTTCTTTAGGTGTCTTAAAGTCAGGTTTTTAAAAAAAAAACGTAGGCTCAAAACTAAGTTCCACTCAAGTCTTAAACCATAATATATCTTATTTCCATTGTGTGTAGAGGTTGTTCAACTCAAGGAATAAATGTTTATTAAACTAAAACAAATGGCACTGTCTCTAATCTTTTGTCATCTAGTGCTAATAGTGTGCTTGAAACAAACCAAGGACCCTATCTTACAGGAAGGTGTATGTAATGGCAATAACAATCAAACTTAAGAAAATGTAGTGCTTGGTTTTTCCCTTGGGTTCTTCTCTGTTGGCTTACACATCTATCCTTGGCAGCCCAGTGGTTTTATCTCCAAACAGCAACTAGAAGGATCTTGTCAGACTTGTGCTGGAAATCAAAGCCCTTAATAGCTTGCATGACCTTCCCATTTTCATATCTTGCTGTCCTCACATGATAGATTCTTTAGCGTTCCTGAGACACTAGCAAGTCACCCTAGTACCTTTATGATAGAATATTAGATATCCAAGATACTAAATGCCAGCTTTATATGACCTTAACCAGCCTATAAATTCTATTTAGTATTTCTAGATCAGCATATAATTTAAATGTATGCAAATTCATGATCAAAGTTTAGAAGTACAACAGAGGGGCCTTTCTGGTGGTGTAGGGGTTAAGTTTAATTGTGAAGCCCTGAGTTTGATACCTAGCACCAAATGGTACAGCAGACCTCTAATGTCTCACCACTGCTCCCCTTTAGCAGTATATTTCTATAAACCCATCTGCTCTGCTCTCCATTGTTCTGTTGAATCTTCTCACTGCCCTCACCTCACTTCCCATCTTTACCCCAGTTCAAAGTGTATAATTACCACTTCTTTTGTTAGGTTTAGATTTTTTAAAAGATTTATTTATGCACACAAAAACAGGTACAAGCCATAGACTGGGGGGAGCAGAACAGGCAGATTGATAAAAATACTGCTGAGAGGAGCAGCAGGTGAGAAGCCGCCTGCTGTGCCATGTGGATCACCTCTGGCTGGGGGTAGCTTCATGGTGCTGCACTTGAACCTACTGCATCACCAGGGAGGGATCCTGGCTAAAGTTTTAAAAATATTCATCAGTGGAAATCTGTCTTGGACGGACCAGCTGGCCTGATAAACCACTGGTGAGGTGATATTCAATAATGTGATCACTCTATAGTACCTTGCCCAAAGTGGCAGTTTTCACCCACTGTACCCAACACCCTACAGTTGTCTTGGGAAGACTGCCTGGACATTTAGCTCATTTATAAACTTTAGTTATTCGTAATGCTGCACTGAATGTCACTGTAAAAGTAGTTTTCAACCTGTTCTTATATGGGGAGGAAGTTCTTAGTAGGAAATGCTCAAATTTCCTTAAAATTTGCAAATGTGGTATAAAGGGCCTGTGCTTTTAAAACTCAAAACACTTAATGAAGAAGTTGGAACCATACACTTTGCAATGGGTGCTCAAATCCTGGTAAAGGACAACTCATGCCCCTAACTCCCAAAGTGATTAAATCAGTTAATTTGGTGTACTGTGATGCATCTCAAGTCCCTTGTTATTTTCACTGTCATTGTTGAAAGAGGTTCATTATTTTGCAGCACTAGTCAGTTTAGAAACAGTAACTGATGGGTAATTTATTATTAGTCACTGACATGTTATTTAGGTTCCAGGTTGATTATTAACTAAACAAGTTTAGTTAAACTAAGCAAGTTTCACTTACCAAAAAGGAAAATTCAAGAAATAATCATCCACATTAAAGAATTCTATTCATTGACCCCCAGCTGGATTCTGTAAGTAGGACTTGTTAGAATCCATTGCCATCAACAAATCCAATATTTATTGTGATTAGAAAGAAAACATTTTTAGGGCCCTTCCTGGTTGTGCATTCGGTTAAAGCGTAACACTATGAAGCTAGCTAGCTGCTTCACCCAAATTAGATCCCTGGACAGGAAGGTGACCCACATGATGTGGCAGATCTCTCCTGACCCGCCCGCTGTTCCCTTCAGCAGTATACTTTGTCCATCTGCCTGTTCTGCTCCCCATTCTTGTCTCTGGTGAATCTCACCCCCCTGCACCTCTGGCTCTCACCCCCCTGCACCTCTGGCCTGAACCCCAGTTCTGTATGTATAAATAAATAAATCTTTGAAAACAAAAAGACTAAGAAATGCCAACCCCAAAGATAGAAACCACACTGAAGATGTTAGCTGCCAACTGAAAATTTCCTCAATATAACCCACCCTACAATATAATGGAATTAATAATGACTAAAAACCACAGTATCACTGCTTGTTTTTATGTGGTCTGTAAAATACTTCTAAATTTCTGAATACTTCGAACAGCATTGTTTCAAAATGGTGCTTTTTCTGTCATTAATCTTCGTAAATGTCACCACTGTCTTTTAAAACTTTTTATCTCAAGGTCTGTAGGAACAAAAAGCATGTAGAAGCTGAAAAGGGCAGCATAGAAGCAATGAAAGAGTCTGAAGGGTCTGGCAGAGCCCTCACTATGTTTCATAAAATCACAGCAATTTCATTATATTCCCTCTAGTTATGCTTTTTTTCTGAGAGTATTTTCATTATAATTTATTTGGCTAATGTTTCGAGTGTAATAAAATCAGTGAACAATTTTGTATGAATTTTCTAGCCGTAGCTGTTTTAGAATTGTTCTTAATAGTGAAGCATCTTAGGTAAATATTTCATTGTGGTATTTCAAAATACATTTGTGCCACTAGTGGTAATATAACTAATTACATATGGTTTCTCCTATATACACTGATTTTCTAATAGTCAACTAAAATTTGAAATTCCTAGTTTCACATATATAAAATTAAATGAGAGCATTCTTAACTTGCCCAAAATCACTTTGAGTTTTCAGTAAGTTTGACTTACTGGCTAATCAAGTGTGGAAAGTGGCACAGGCCTTAAACTTTTTACAATTTAACAGAATTTTAAATAAAAATGAAAATTAACTCTAAAATTCATGTTGTAAGTGTAAATTTATATTTTGAAATGTGCTTAATTTGTGGAACATCAAACTTCTTTGTCATAGCGCTAACAAAGGATTTTTTTTTAATGACAGGAAATTTGGAAAATAGAGAAAATAAAAAATTACCGGAATTTCACCATTGAGAACCATATCATCCTGTTTGTTGCTTCCAGTTTTTTTTTTTAAAGATTATTTATTTATGCATACAGAATTGGGGTATGGGGCATAGGTATGGGGCAGGGGTAAGAAGACTGCACAGAGGCAAAGTGGGGAGAAGAACAGGCAGATGTACTGAAATACACTGCTAAGGGGAGCAGCAGGTGAGACAGGAGAGGTCTGCTGCGTCATGTGATCAGCTCCCTGTCAGGAATCGAATTTGTCCTGCAGTGTCTGTGGTAGCTTCATAGTGCTGTGCTTTAACCTGTTGTGCCACCAGGAAGGGCCTTATTTTTTTTTTTTTAATTGAAAGTAACTAGTATAGGATTTTCCTTTCATAATAATATAATTGATAATTGGTAGAATAACTTCTTCAGAGGATAACCAGAAAGGTAGAATGAATCTGTAGATGTATGTGTGTATACCCAACATATCACTATTCACTAATTCTGGATAGATAGATAGACAGACAGAGAGACAGATATAGATAGATATAGATATTTAAGACTTTAATTATTTTACTTAAAATTATTAGCGCTAACAAGCAGTGAAGAATCACAGAACTCAAATCCAGGAGAAAATGAAGAATCCAGAGAGGATGTAGTATTCAGGGCTGCTTAACCCTGGAGTATTTACTGATTCTAGAAAGCCAGGCTAAAGGCGGAGAGAAGCTGAGCAACACGCTGATGCAATCTTGAAAAGCTTAGAGAATAAAAATGTGCAGATCCACATCCAATGCAAGTGGTACTGGTACAGGATCCTGAAAAACCCTCTTCACTCTGGGTTGGAGTTCCCCAGAATCTATTGTCATATTCTCTACAAAACAGTAAAAGTGATTATTTCTGAAACTAGTCAGATCATACTTTCTTTTGCTCAAAACTCTTCAGTCACTGTCAAACCTCAAAGTAAATGATATTTTAAGAAAAAAAATAGAAAAAAGTGGGGAAAAAAGACAAAGTAAATAATGTTGAAGATACTTTTTTTAAGTCTAAAAGGCTTACAAGACTCCTACATAGAAGTTTTCAACTCTACTTTTGGGTTGAAAGGATCAATCTTACTCTTTAGAATAAGAATTTATAATGCCCTTTTATTACTGTAGTATGAAATTTATAGATAATTTACAAATATAATGTCAGAAAAATTAATATAATGCCCAATGATACAAAGAAAAGTGCACAATTAAACAATATTATTTATAAATTTGTAGATACAGCTAGGTCTGAAGATATGTTAAAATGATGTATTCATATATGAAAAACCCATGAGTGTAACCTGATATACAGTATGTGTCATACCCTGATATATATGTATGTGCTATCAGTGACTCAAATACCATAAGCAGTGAAGCCATTAACAACCTGATTCCTGAATGTTCTTAAAACTCTAATGTTCCAAACAAAACAACCACAACACCTACCCTTCATTTACATAGTAGTTGTGCTTCTAGAAAATACAGTAGCTATTACGACTGTGCACAATAAATTTTCCTTCTTGTAAGCATACAAAGACATTTGAAGACAGGGCAGCCCTCACACTGAGTGGGACTGCCCATACATTTGCAGAATTTCTGGCATTCCTGGCTCCCACCCATAAAAAGCCAGTAGTGACCCCATCCCACCATTGTGCTAGTCCAAAACTCCCTTACCAATTTTCAAATGCCCTGGGAGCAGAGAAACCACTGCCTTTGAAAATGAGTTACCTCCTTTATTTAATTTCCCACTTACTCTGTATTTTCCCTTGCTGATGTCTTACAGCCAAACTGGTTTCCATGTTGTTCCTCAAATTCAGTTAGGCATGCTCTAACTTTTAGGCTCATTGCAGTGATGTTCTACCAAGATGGCTGTTTCCAGATATAAAACCTAACATAGTCCCTCGCCTCCTCCAGGTCTTTTGTTCAAATATAATTTCTCTGTGAAGCCACCCTGAACATGCTATTTATAATTCCCTCATCCTCCTTCCTGGCACTGCTTCTCCCTTCCTTACTTAATTTTTTCTACAGCATCACCATCGGACATGCTGTAGCTTGTTTACTGATGGTTGGTTGTTTACTTGCCCCTTAAGATTTTAAGCTTAATGCAGTCAGTTTTCTTGTCTGTTTTTCACCACTGCACTGCTCAATAAATATTAAACGGGCCCTCCCTGGTGGCGCAGTGGGTTAAAGCACTAAGAAGCTAAAGCCACTTCCTCATGAGTTCAATTCCCGCCTGCCCCGGAAGAGATCCACGTGGCGTGGCAGACCTCTCCTGACCCGCCCGCTGCTCCCCTCAGCAGTGTACTTCATTGATCTGCCTGTTCTGCTCCCCACTCTGTCTCTGGTGAATCCTCTCACCCTCCGCATCTCTGGCCTGTACCTCAGTTCTATATGAATAAATAAATCTTTAAAAAAAATATTAAATGAAGGGAGGGAAGGGAAAGAGAGAAAGAAAGCAAAAGACAATAAAAGGTGAAAGGGGAGAAGGGTGGGAGGCAGGGAGGTGGGGAGGTGTGGGTTTCCAGAAGTAGCATGGGGTCATGAGACCCAAATTGTGTCTTGTGGCCCTCAACCAACCAGTGAACTCAGAAATCCAACGTTTGTTGGTTTCTTACCCCAAAGATAGTCTTATTTTTCCTTTTGACAACTAGGCAGAGGCAGAGCTTTCTATCTAATCTTATCCTGGTTTTATAATACTTATTAGTTAGTGAGGCCAGCCCCTGGTATTTGAAGATTTTGTGAATAGACAGGTTCATTCAGAGGGAAGAGAGAGGTTAAAAACCTCTGTCATGTTACCCCAAAGTCAATGGATTATAGGGCTCTCCCTGGTGGCACAATGGGTTGGAGCACAGAGCTATGAAGCTAGCTGCAGCCCCTTCAGGGAGTTTGACCCCTCACCAGAGAGGTAAACCCACATGGGGGCAGTAGACTTCTCCTGTCTCACCTGCTGCTCCCATCAGCAGTGTACTTCATCAATCTACCTGTTCTGCTCCCCACTCTGTCTCTGGTGAATCCTCTCACCACCCCTGCACCTCTGGCCTGTACCCCAGTTCTGTATGCAGAAATAAGCCTTAAAAAAAAAAAAGTCAGGGCCCTCCCTGGTGGCACAGCAGGTTAGAGCACAGCACTAAAAAGCTAAAGCCACTTCAGCATGAGTTCAATCCCCGCCCCGGAGGTGATCCACATGGTGTGGCAGGCCTCTCCTGACCCGCCCACTGCTCCCCTCAGCAGTGTACTTCGTCGGTTCACCTCTTCTGCTCCCCACTCTGTCTCTGGTGAATCCTCTCACTGCCCCTGCACCTCTGGCCTGTACCCCAGCTCTGTTTGCATAAAAAAAAAAAAAAGTCAATGGATTACAGATGGTTAGAAAGCAAGGCTTAGAGTGTTTTGTAATGTGAAGTTTTTATAGACCTGAAAACTCAACTAAATGGAGGCAGAAGTATAGATATGCTAAGAGTTTCCAAGGGGTGTTTTAATGAAGGAGCCTTTAAACAGTAACTATTATAAAAGTACCTGTAAGTAGGACTTTATAAAAGTGTATTAAAAGAAAACAAGCTGCACCATGAAAGTCATTTGTATAAACTGCTATACTAAATGATAGGTGGAGGTGTGTATCATAACCTGAAATGTACATCCTTCAAATACAACCTCACATGAAGACTATACATTATCACCTGCCACAAAATAAATTCTAGTATCTTCTGAGAAAGTGGCAAAGAAGACTGCAAGTGCCTCTCAATGGAAAAAGCAGTAAGTAGCAGTGAGTTCCACTTTTACTTCATATTCCTCCAAAACAGGTGTTTTGTTCTATGCTGCTAGCCAGTCATGTCAACATTAATAGGGTCGCTTCATGAAAATTTCTGGTAAGTAGAATAATGGCTACAACCTTGCCTAATACCTGAAACCTTTGAATATTCTGTTATAAAGCAGAGAATTAAGTTCACACACAGAATTAAGGTTGCTAATTATCTGACCTTGAATAGGAAGATTATCTGAGCAGTGGGTGGATAATTATAAGTGTCTTTTAAATAAGAGAGGAGGCAAAGCAGCAGAGAGATGACAATGTGAGGGGACTCTGTTTGATGCTGCTTTTAGTGATGGAAGGGAAGGACATGTGAAAGAATGTGGAAAACCTCTAAAAGGTAGAAAAGGTGAGAAAAGAGGTTCTTATCTCCAGAATCTGAGAGAGCTTTGCTAACACCTTGAGTTTATTCCAGGGAGACATGTTTTGGACTTCTGACCTGATAAGATAGAGCTATAAGAAAATAAATTTGTATTTTGTTAAGCCACTAAGTTTGTGGTAATGTATTACATCAGCAATAGGAAATGAGTAGAGTTTCAACTGGTTGTAAGCATCCTTTTTTAATCTCACACTCATTCTTTATGTCCCACACCTTCAGATCTCTAGTCCTTAACTTTGGCAGTTTCTTGTGAATCACTCTATGTCACTGGTTCTGTTTCACCCATGGGATACAAGGCAGTGGCTGGAGACATTTTTAGCTGTCAAAACTGTGGTATAGGAATTTTGGAACTGATTTCTAGAGGGCAGAAATGAGGGATGCCACTACACTTCCTATAATGCCAGGACAGCCCTCTAAAACAAAAATATATCCAGCCCAAAATATTACCATTACCATTACTGAGTTAAAATCCCACTCTAAACATTTATCAGTGGAATATATGGGTCTCGTGGACATATACCTACAAAGAATCCTGTACCTCCCACCTCCCCTCTACTTCTATCTTTGCCTTTCCTTTTCGATTTTTTATTTTTGGTCTTCCTTTATTTATACCATGCAACTTCAAAAGGGATAGGCATTATTGCCCCTAAGAGGGAAAAATTGGTTCATGTTAGTTAAAAACCTGATCTTACAATAGTTTGTGTTCCTCTGAAATTCAACCCTACCTGACAAAATTGTATTCCATAGCACTTAATTAGGAAGAATTTTAACATGCTTATATTTTTTTTCCTTAGGAGGATTATAATGAGAAGTAGGTTCAAAACCCCTGCTTTCCACTAAACTGTCATTAGTTCCTCCAAAAGATGGTATTTCTTCTTCTTCTTTTTTAATCATTTAAGGAGAACTTTCTCATAAATGTGTAGGTAATTTTATCTGTTTAGCGAAGAACAGTAATGAATAAATGTTTTGGCAAGCCAGTAAATTTATTTTAAATTGTGTATAGTGCTTATATGATAAAAATGTGTATAAAGATGATGCACAAAATTATTGCTCATTGTTCAACTGCTAATATCTAGTTTAAAAGGTTTTGCTCTTTTTTTTTTCATTTTTCCTAGGACAGGTCACTAATTTGAAGAAGGAAAATCTACTACTATGTCACAGTAAAGAATAACTAACCACAAATGCTAAAAAATTTAAAATATCTTTAGTCTTGCTCCACATAATACTTTTTGTTTTCTCTTAGGCAGTACTTCAAAATAGTTTATACAGTGTATACTAGCAGCCTAATAAATATTTATGAGAACAGTTTTGCCCTTAAAAAACAGAGACATTTATATTCCTTCTGCTTAAGAGCAGTTTCTAAGTTTAGCTCATCAAAGAATGGCAATGTAATGAACTAAATTTTAAATTAGCCCAAAAGAAATGGGGAGGTTTGCAAATATGTACATGTTTATCATTTGCTCCTTCCTTTTTTCCATCCATCATCTATGTGCAGAAATATTTTTCCCACAGTGAAGAACTAAACATTGTCTCCTTTCCTCACCCCCAAACCAACCATTCCAATAAACCTAAATCAAACACCCAAGATAATTGTATCCTTATGTTTGCTCATGAGTATAAAGAAGCAAGCATCCATCTCAGACAACTGTGAACACACTGTCAATAATGACAACTCTCTTGTGATCTTGTTTCTTTGAATGATTAAATTATTATTGTTATTTGAATGATGTCATTCTCTTGAGGTTCCTCTGGCTGTTTTGCTTTCATACTGCAAATGTGTTAAAAATTTAAGTCCCAGCTTGAACTTTTATTTATGCTGAGATCAGCCCTGTGGATTGCCTCATTATACAAAGCCTGCAGGGGAGGCACTTCTGGGCCAGCAGCCAATACTCTCAGGTCAGCAGGAACTATTTTAGCACAATTTATAAAGCAAAAGAAAGGGATCTGGTTGACCTATAAGGACCAACTCTGCAAGAATTAGTGTTAACCACAATGGTGATTAATCACAGCTTGCCCATCTTCCTGAGAAAACAGAACTTTCTTCACTTTCCCCTTCCTTTAAATAAAACATGTATTTTTGCTGTTATACAAAAAAATTCCAAGCATATGAGAAGAGTTAATATCTAATAGAGTTTAAGAATTCTATCAAAGATTGCTTAAGAGATCCTTGTAACAGATGATTTCTAAATCTTGAAACAAAGGCAAGATTAAAAAGTGGTGATTGACGGGCCCTCCCTGGTAGTGCAACAAGTTAAAGCACAGCACTATGAAGCTATCAAAGACACTGCAACACAAACTTAAACCCTGGCCAGGGGGGTGACCCACAGGGTGCAGCAGACCTCTCCTGACCTGCCCACTGCTCCCCTCAGCAGTGTACTTCAGTTAATTTGCCCGTTTTGCTCCCCACTTTTTCTCTGGTAAATCTCACCCCCTGCACCTCTGGCCTGTACCCCAGTTCTATATGTATAATCTTTTTTTTTTTTTTTTATAAAAAGCAGTGATTATTCAGCAGGACTCACTCCAATCTAATTTACCCATTTTCCCTTTGCATCTTTGAAGGTGATCTTAAAGACTTATTTTTTTCAGTTTGTTGTTCTCTTAAACACAACGAGCTGTGTGAAGTCTGCATTCCTGAGTACAATTTAGTCTGTCTCCTCCTTATCCACCCTTTCCATCCACCCACCTACAAACCCAAAATCCCAAACTTGCTGAGAGCTTTGCTGTCCCTTTCCCTATTTTACTTTAGTGACTTTTGCACTAGGTATTATTGTTCTTCTATTATAGTATAAATACTTTCCTGTCATACATGTCCCTTCTGCTCAGTGTTTGGGTGTACTGGATCACACGTTACTTCCCCTGACCTAATCTGTTACATCACCTTCATAACTTTCTAAGAAATGGTAGTTTTTCAGGGGAGGGAAGAGCACAGGGACCATGGTGATGGTGCAGGGGTGAACTGGTGGTGAGGATTTTATGGGAACTACACTTGAGAGGACAAAGTATACACTGTACAAAAAGGAAGAGTGATGTAAAAAATATATATATAATTGATTTTAAAAGGTAGTTTTTTTTTTAACTTACCCATTTAAAAATACCTTTATCCCTCCTCACACATGACAGATTGCTTGGCCGAGTTCTGAGATTTAGCATGGAATATTTTCACCTTAGAATTCTGAAAGGCAAAGGCATTCCTCAGGTGTTGAGTGCTGTTGCTGAGAAGTCCAATTTCTGTTGTTTTGTATATGATCTTGTTTTATGGCTGCTTTCATTATATCTCTATCTCTGATGCCTCAAAATTTATCCACAACATGCATTAAAGATTTTTTTTTCACTACTTGTGTAGGATAATCTGTGAGTATTCTAATTTGGAAATCCTCCCAGTTAATTCCAGGAAAATTCTCTTGAATTGCTTCTTCAATCGTTTTCTCTCTGGAACTCCTACTTCTGATAGGAAGACTAAGAAAGGTAAATCTGTAATGACCAATATAGATAGCATTAGTCATATGACTTGATGCTTGAAACATGGCTAGATAATCAAATGACTAGATTTTAATTTCTATTATTTTTATTTTTTCTATTTTCCCCTCCCACCTCCTACCCTAAATTTTAATTTAAAAAATTAATGAGTTTAAATTAAAACACTGGAACAGTATAAAATTATTTTTATTAAACCAAACTTTACAATGTTGTGTTTTTTGGTGGGACCATATTTTACTTTAACCCCTTATAGTATCTTGTAAGATCACTGCATTGCTCAGAGAAGTAAGAGAAATAAGAAAGAAAAACAAAAATATTGGATGGTTTCACTTATAGCCAGTATATAGGGAAACAAAACAAGGAGTGTGGTTGTGAGGGGAAAAAGCAAAACTACCAGGCAAACTTTAAATCAGAGATATGCAGCTGGGGAGGAGGAAGGGAGAGGGATCAAAACAGGGGAGGGAAGAGTACAAGAGACTATGGTGATGGGTCACAGGTGACTTGGTGGTGGGAATTTTATGAGGACTACATCTGAAAGGAGTAATCAAACACTGTACAAAGATGAATGAAGTTAAAATCTATAAATATATACTTAAACATATTTAATTAAAAATGTGAGATTAAAAACTTGCAAGTCATACAGCTATTACAAATAACATGATTAAAACTCAAAAATGCCAAGCAAAGAGAAGACAGGAAAAAAAGATTGTTGTATTGTCATGTATGTTGTATAAAGGCACTGTTTCTAGAATTGTACATGAACATATCACTGGTCTTGCTGGTATCAACAGATGGATTCAGTTTGGATGACTTTCTTCTTTGCATGGTTACTGCAGTATGTTATTTGAATATTTCATGAAGACAAAATGAGAAGACATGCTCTACACAGTGATACCTATGTAAGTCATAACTTGCATGGTGATATACTAGGATGATATATAATTATAGTTACTTTTCTAGTTAATAGTCTAAATAAATTTTGACTTAGCATAATTCATTAGGACATTTTAAAATGAGGAAGGACTTTAAATGGTTTTAACTGACCTTAACTTTAATGTAACTCCATCTTTCAGTGTCTTTTTTCTTCTCCCATAATACTTGTCTTTCATCCAGGTTAAAATACTGCAGTGATCCAGTTGGCCTATTTTACTTTAGTTTAGGATTAGAACACAGTAATATTTATACTCATTCTTCCCTTTATCCATATCCAGATTTACCTGTGTATTCAGTTGTCCAGAGTCTTGATTCCAGTGAAATGTGAGGGTTAATGAAGTAGCCTTAGCAAGAAATAATATGAATGTTTAAACAGATGACTTCTGAAGACACAACCACTTCATTCAAGTTATTGCTTTGGTAACTGGAATGAGGAAGGGCAAGTAAGTAGAAATCCACTAGTGGTTATCTGAGAATTCCAACAGACTGGGCTAGTCTCCACAGGGTAAATAAATAAGGCTCCTCGGAAGGAGAAGAGCAAAAGGCAGCTCTCATTGCAGCTCTAGCCTCTCAGCGACTCAGCATCCTCCTACAGCACCAATGTGTCCAGGGCTTTTTCCAGTGGTCAGTAAACAGTTTTTATTTCATAGGTATTATAGAAAAGAGGATCTTAATCTCATTCCAATGGCCTTTAACGTTCACTCAGTTCCTTTTCAAATTAAAAGGGTAGTATCTGTCTTTTAAAAACATTTTTAAAGCAGTTCCTCTTAACAGTTCGGTTCACAGCAAATTGAAAAAAATCTTAGAAAGGTCCCATATACCTCCTAGAAAAACAGCCTTCCCCACTATCAACATCCCTCACCAGATATATATGTTACCATCAGTGATTCTATACTGACAAACTACAGTGTCCAAAGTTCACATCCTACAGCATTGGTTTTGTTCATTTGACAGGCATCCACCACTGTAGTATCATACAGGTCTCCACTATATTATAGCACACATGTACCCTAAAAATCCTCAGTATTCTGCCTTTCTACCCCTTCCTCTTCCCTAAACCCTGGCAACCAATGATATTTTTACTACCTCCATAGTTTACCTTTTCCAGAATATTGTACCAAATGTATGGTGTCTTCTCAGAATGGTATCCTCTTTTATGATCCTTTCTGCTTTCTAGACTGCATTAGCCTCATTTCACCTGTGTAGAAACATATGGTGGTTCATACATCTCACGAAAAAAGCAAGCTACAAAGTATAGCTCAGAGAACTCTTGCATCAACATTACATAGGGTGACAAAGCCCTCAGACCGGGTGGAAAAGAGGACCAATTTGGTTTTAGAACTATGTTTAGAGCTTGGCAGGAGAGCCTGGACAGAGAAACAGGACTGTTGTCGGTGCAGGGTTCTGCAAGTCTGGTGAGGCCTTGAATTTTTGTCAAAGTGCAAGAAGCTATTAGAGGATTTTGAGGGGAGTAATCAGATCTCATTTACATTTTAGAAATAAGCTTATTGAATAGCTATCAGGAGCTGTCCCTCTGTTAGGACACAACTGTTACAGTGTTCAATACAAGAGATGGTGGTTTGGTCCAGCGTAATAGCAAGGCCCATGGTGTGAAGCATAGAATGAAGACATGAAGGTAGAAAAGCTCAGATTTGTTAATGGGTTGAATGGGGTACCAAAGGCAAAGGGAATAAGAGGGGAGGAGGAGGAAGAGAAAAGGGAAGAGAAGGAGGAGAAAGGGGGGGGGGCTCATTTTACTGGCAACTGTCAGATTTATTAAAATAGTAAGGATTGAAATGGGGAAGGAACTTGTGTTGGAGAGGAGGGAGGGAGGGGAGTTTAGAAGGGTTGTTGCAAATATAAAAATGTTATACATTTACCTTACATTCTGTTCCAAAATTGGAGCAAATTGTAAAGAATTTTAGTGACTACCCACACACAGCCATCATCTTACTATATAACTCCAGCCTTTTACCACCATCCATTACATTTTACATTTGTCATGCATTTAAATTGCATAAACGATGTTGGAGCTTAGCACACAGTTGTTCTGTTCTTTCGATGTAAAATTTACATGCAAGGCGAAATGTACAAATCTTACGTGTATTCTCTCAGTTTGACACACGCACGCACCTTACATTTGAGACGCCCAAAGGACGTCAAGAGGGCATAACCAAACGGGCTGCTGGATGTAGATTTCCGTGCTCAGAAGTCTTGGTATGAAGATGATCATCAGAACACCGGTCTGTTTCAGCTACAGGGTGGCTGAAAGCTCCCAGGGCAGAGAGGGCCGAGAAACGGGTCCTGCATTTAAGTCCATCCCAGGGAGAGCGGAACCCGGGAAAGCAGAGGGCTTGAACCTTCCGAGCCCCGTCGGCCCACCCGGGGTCCGAAGGCACCGGCCTGCTGGGCGCCCCGGGAAGGGGCAGTCCTTGGAGACCCGAGGTGTCGCTAGGTGTGTGTGGGGGGGGCGGCCTGGGGAAGGACGCACGTAGGAGGCGCCCAGGCCCAGGCAGGAAAGTGGGCCTGAGACGTAGAAGCGGGCAGCGCAGAACCGGGCCGCGGGCCTTGCGGGGGCGGGAAGGAGCCCCGCGAAGGCAAGCGGAGCCCAGGCCGGGAAGTGAGGGCGAGGCGGCGGCGGGGAGGGCGGAGCCGGCGCTGCGGCCAGCCGCGCGGAGGGAGGGGGTGTGTGAGCGGGTCACATGGTCGCGCTGCCCTCCCCGTCAGCCGCCCTCGCCGCCGCGGTGCGCTGGCTGCAGGAAGCCGCCGCGCCGCCGCTTTTGTTGTCAGGGCGCCGCGAGGAGCGCCGCTCGCCGG